TTAGGTGCAGTTTTGGTCATCACAATGTAAGAAAGATATTAAACTTTTAGAGAGCTTCCAAAGGAGAGCAAGGAAGATGGTGAAGGGCCTTAAGGGGAAGCCGTATGAGGAGCAGCTGAGGTCACTTGGTCTATTCAGCTTGGAGAAGAGGAGACTGAGGAGAGACCTCATTGCAGTTACAACTTCCTTGTGAGGGGAAGAGGAGGGGCAGACACTGAGCTCTTCTCTGTGGTGAACAGTGACAGGACCTGAGGGAATGACCTGAAGTTGAGTCAGGGAAGGGTTAGGTTGGATATTAGAAAAGGGTTCTTCCCCCAGAGGGTGGTGGGGCACTGGAACAGGCTCCCCAGGGCAGCGGTCACAGCACCAAGGCTGAGAGAGTTCAAGAAGTGTCTGAATGATATTCTCAGGTACATGGTGTTACTACTGGGGATGGTCCTGTGCAGGGCTGAGAGTTGGACTGGATGATCCCTGTGGGTCCCTTTCAACTCAGTATATTCTGTGATTTATATGTATCTCTGCAACTTCAAGACTAGCCTAGGCAGGGTTCTTTGGCTTTTGCTGTCAATATGGAGCTATTGATCCATCAACATAAATCCTTACTTATCTCCAGTCAAGTTTATAGGACAATGAAATTATAGGATTGCTTGAACCAATCAATGTTTCTAAAGCAAGCTATAGAAAGATAAACAAGTTACTGATTATTTAATAAAGTCAATTTGCTTAGAAATGCCTGATGACGGGCAGCACATGTTACAGTAATTTCTGCTTTCTCTGGAATTTCACAGGGGATGCAAGATCTTAATGTTGCTATTAGCAAAGGTAACTTTATTTTAGAAACTCCTTCTGAACTCTCACAGCAAGAGGAAGAAACTATCATTCCTTTTGACCACAAAACCTGTGCTATTTCTAAGGGGAGTTCTTTGAAATAACTAGGATATCTCACAGCTTGTTGCTTTTAGAGGGGACTTAGTACAGTGACACGACATTTAGTTAGCATAAAGAGTTTTTTAGTCCCTAAGATACTGACTGAGTTTGAAGAACCAAAACTTTTAGTCAACTAAGATTAAATTTGTTAGATTTGTTAAATTTGAAGTACAAGTTTACATAATATTTTAGCTTTCCTAGAATTTTGAGCTGGGCTCCTGTTTCCTGAGAAGCATTTAGGTTAATATAACCAGGTTCTGACTTGGCAAAACAATTTAAGTGTAAAAATGTCTTTCAGTTTCTCAGCTGGAAGTGTCATGAAAGTGGCGTCCTCAGTGTGGTTTTACAGTTACTGTGTTTGCCTTTTGAGATCCAGTTTATTGGAGGGGTTTTATTCAAGGTGGCTCAAGAACTTCCCGTGCGCTCATGGTGTCCTTTTGGTGCTCCCATCTGTATTGAATGTAGAGCAAGATCTTTATTAGTAGACTCTGGTGCTTCGGTAGGCTGCGTGTTGGGTAGCTTACCATAGTTTGTCATGCAGGAGTACAGAATCATCTGATTAGTCTGGCTAATCAATCTTGAACAGGGACAGTAATAATTAAGTCAGAGATGGCCATTATAAATCCCTCTATTCCAATACATTAATATTCCCAGTCCTTTGGATATTAAGGTTGCTTTAGATTTAAAAAAAAATCCGTGTGAAATGGGTCTTTGATCTTTTTGATTGGTCTACTTTCAAGATGTTAAGAATTCATTTTGGCTTTGGAAATATTTTTGTCTTTAAGATAACCTATTATCATATATACTTCCTCATTTTTGTATGTAGGCTTTGTTAAAGCTTATACATAAACTAGTCTGATAAATTTTTTTTTTAAGCTGTTTTGTGGTATTTTGGTCTGCAGTATTTTGTTGCTAAGCTGTCTATAGCAGGCTGTAGCTGATCTCTGATACAAATTTCTATAGAGCCAGGGCTTCCTTCGCCTATGATAAAGTTGGTGTGGCTCACCCTAATTACATTATTATAGACCTAAAACATACAAGGTAGAATAGCATGAGAGGAGTTAAATTTGGTCATTAGCAGGAGTGTGTGGTTAGTCTAGCTGGTGTAGTCATTAGCTTCTAAAATAGATAAGACTACACTTTCCATTTGATATGCTTTGAAGTCAAGTCAAAGTCCTTAACGTGATTTAGGTTTACTTAGAAGGTCTATGATCCTACTTTGTAATAAGCTCTGTATTTCATATTGGAATGGTACTTGTCTATGTCAAGCATTGCTGACATTCACAGCCACAGTTGTATTCATTCGGAAGTTAAAATGCACTGTTTTTGGAAGAACATTTACAGAAAATATTATTGCAGTCAGACAGGGCTTTAAGGCACGAAGGCTTCCTGTAAAACCTGGATTGTCTGAATGCCAGGCTTTTTTTTTTTTTTTTTTTTTTTTTTTTTTTTTTTTTTTTTTTTTTTTTTTTTTTTTTTTTTTTTTTTTTTTTTTTTTTTTTTTTTTTTTTTTTTTTTTTTTTTTTTTTTCAGTTGAGGAACAATTCAGTTCCTCAGACTTTGAATGCTGTTATGTACTTCCCTGTTTAATACTTACGGCTGCCAACATCTGTGCAGGCTGAAGCTCTGGCTGTTCAGGATTGAACTGCTTCTGTCTTGTAGGTCTGTCATTTGCTGAGGAGCTCCAAGGCAGTGCTGGGGAAGGAGGGATGTGATGGATGTCTTCTTGTAGATAGCATTTTGTTTGTGACGAGCAAGGCAGTGGTCTATGGAATTTACTTGCTGCAGGAGAGAAGAGCTCGGATGGCACCGTGTCAAGGAGCTGCAAAGCTTGGTAGATGCGATTTGGAGTGAAGCCTGGTGGAGGCAAATGCAGACAGTGCTGCTGACTCATAGCAGTCTTAGAGGAAAAGGCTCTCTTCCACTTCTGCTTGCCTCTGGCTTCCTCCAGCATGTGGTTAGTGAGGACTTTGTCTCCCTAGTTCTCTGATGCTACTATATTATTTATCAGCTTGGCTCAACAAAAGGAAAGGAGGTTGGTGAAAAATATCTGTGCTATTAACTGGTTAATTAGGATGACATTTCTCATGTAAACGACCTCTAAAGAGAGACTCAGGATTGATAAATAGCCAGTTTTCATTGCTGTCTGCATCCCTGACTCCTTTTCCCCACCCTGCAAAGCATCATGTGGATTTATGTGACTCTTCACCGAGCTGAGATCCTTAACTCTGAGATGATAACTGTGAGTGCGTGGGTCTGTGATGAGGAGTGCTCCGGGTAGGTTTTGGGCTCGATGCTGTGTGCCACCCTGCCTAATGGTTGGAGGTGATGAGTTAAAATCCTTCAGCTAGTAACAGGTGATGAGGCTTAAGAAATAAAACTGAGGCTTAAAAAATAAAACAAAACAAACGCCAACATCAAAACCAGAAAAGGATGAAAAGCTTGTTTATATGTTGTCTTACAAATTGTATGCTGATGTGAGAGTCTATTTTCTTTTGTAACTATTCATCCCACCTATTTCCTAGTGTAACTGGCAAAAAACTCCAATGTTTCTTAAAAGACAAGTGAGTCTGTACTTGACCTGAGTGTGCTGATAGGAGTTATGCAGTTGACTTCAATAGGAGAGCATCTGCACTCTATATGCAGAAAAATATGTCTTTAAACTAAAAAGCCAAGTGAATAAAAGTACCTTCTATGCTTGTGGTGATTAGTTTAGTTTTTTGAAGAGGCTTTAATGCATATGTATATTTTGTTTTTCTTATTTTTTTTTTTCTTAAGTCCCACAAAATCAGTTGCTGGTTGGGGTTGGCTTGTGCCTGCTGATTAATTCCTGATGTCACTGGTCTTGATTCCTGTTGTAGTTGTTCTCAGATAACTTGTCAGCAGCAGCAAACCAGCAGAGCTGTTATTGACCCAGAATAGCAATAGAGTTGTTAATACAAGCAAGGTTTTCTGTGAACTACGTCGCTATTCTGTGGAGCTGATGAGCTGGTTAACACCTTTTACTTATTCTGCAAGGATTTGAGGCTGGAAGGAAATTAATGCAGCTGTGAAGCACAGGAGAACCAAAATAGCAGTGATTCAGTTAGAGTAGAGCCAAATCTTCTCAAAATTAAACTCCATTGTGTTAGAGACTTTACTTTTTTTGATACCTATATTATTAACTTCTCTGATAAATGCAGGGAATGTAATACAGTGATATTGGAGAAGCCTTGCACATTAAATCTAAGCTATTGTCTTGAGGTTGTAATAGAAGAAACCACTCTTCATCTGGTGTGTTATGAGAATCAGATTCTACAGAATTTCTGTTTCTCAAGGTTACCATATAATTCACAAACTTAGTTTTTGCGTAGCATTGATTTCCTTCACTTTCGGATTCGTTGTTTAGAATGACTGGGAAGTCTACAGTACATATATGAGTATTTATAGTTTCATAAGTAACAAACAATACCGGATAGTTCTGGGAATTTTGTCATGGGCAAGGGCATTTACTTGAAAGCTGCTGCTGTTGTTATCCTGAAGACTTTTTTTGATTATGTAATTTGGTTACTTTAGTGTATAACAGGTTGATGGTCTTCTCTCACAGAGTTTTCCTCTAGTTCCTCCTTTTAGTTGTGATAATTTAAAGTTTACCCTGTTCCTTTCTTTCAAGATATAATCAGCTTGTAAACTAAGTGCTAATGAACTTTTATGTTGCAAAAATGCTCTATTTTTGGTGTTTTAGAGAATTCTACTGTTTGTATGTCAGGGCACCCCTGAAAGTGTCTTTATATTTTTCTTCCAGTATCTGTAACATGGCCAGGCTCTCTTCCCCTCTTTTTTTCCCCCCCACATTTCCCATTTTCCCATACTTGCTGTCTAAAAACCTATTCAGCAGCACCGATGTCTCAAGCGGTGGGTATGTAAATATTTACGGGCATGACAGTCAACAACAGTGGGAGGGGGGAAATTGCTACATTCTACCATTCAGGGAGCCTTCCAGTTCTGTCTGAGTGTGCAGTCGATGAGAAGAGGAGAGGCTTGTAGTTTGTAGTTGACATGTTTTTGCTCTCTTGGTTCCTGTTTTGTTGCAGATGTCACTCATATAGCAGTGGAAGGATTTATCAGCTCTTGCGGAGGCTTTCCCCTGCACTCAGAACTCAAGGCTGGAGCTGTAGTGGAGGAAAATGGAGCCTGTAGATCTCCTGGCATTTGCCTCTGTAGAAATGAATAGTACAAGAGTCACCCTGGCTTTGCTGGTGGTCTTCCTGGTCCTGCTGTATTGGTAAGTGATAATGGTGGTGTGGGTTGCATATCAGACACAAAGCCTGCTGAAGCTCTGCCAGCATCTACAGAGTCTTTTATTCATGTGGGGAAACTGGATGATAATTGCCTGGGAGGGAAATGGAGGGGGAGTTGGTTTGGATGCTGAGGTTGTAGTAAATACTCACAAAATTCATAATGCTTTTAGAGAATTCTCTCCTTGCAATATTATCTTGTAAGTGCTTTACCAACAAACTGCTAACAAAAATTGTCTTCAGAATCAAAAAAATCCAACTTATCTGTTGGTTTCTTATTAGTTTCTGTGGACAGCAGGAACACTGGTTAGAAAGAATCCAAGTTTTTGCTGGACTTCTCTGTACTATGCTGCACACTTGTCCCTTGCCAGGTTTCTTGGCTGAAGTGTACAGACACTTAAACTGCTGCCTGAACTTCCTCTCTTGTTGTTTCTGCACTGACTAATGGATACATATCAGAATAACAACAGCCCTAATGGTTAGCACAGTAGGCATTGCAGTGAGCTGTGCTGAAATGAAAAAAACCACCCTGTCTCAACAATTTATTTCAGAAATTAAATTAACTGAACTGGGAGTACTTCTCTGACTGTTTTTATTTGTAAACATTCTCAAATCCTGCTTTCTAGTCAAAGAATCTTTTCTTCTCAACTGCATTGAGTGTTCAAGAAAAAGGTGCAGGTATGATTGTAGAGAAGGAACATCTGACAAAACCCCAAAGATAATCTAGCAGAGAACAGTGATGCTAAATCATGAGTTTAGCACAATCGTTGCAGCAATGTGACAGATCACTTCTGCATGTATTTTGTCCTTGTTTCACCCTGTTGAGCATCAACTTCCTTCTGTGCCCAGGGAGGGTCTAGGGAGGCTAAAAAGAGTCAAACTCATATCTGACGTGCAAGGTCATATCAAGTAGGTAGGTGGCCTTGCTTTCTTAACAAGATCTCCCCAAATCATCACAAACGTCCAGGTCTTACTTCCTTTGAATTTTTACCAGGAAAAGAATGACAGCTCTAGATTTTTAAGTAAGACCATGCTGTTTAGCTGCCAATTTGTGCATCTCTGTGAGCTTAAGGGGAAGAGAAAGAGAACAGAGGCACATCCACAGTTCAGAAAAGCAGCAGATCAGCTGGTGAGGTCTGACCACCTGTGAGTTATCTCAAAAAGCCTGATACTTCCATGTAGTATGTCTCCAGATATGCAGAGATCTCTGAAAACACAGAAGTGCTCTTTGTAAACATTGGGTACATTCTGATGTGTGCTTGTCCAGGGCCTCATTCTCCTGTTCCATTTAGGGAAGGCAATTCCTCCCCTGGAAGTTACAAGGTGATGTTTTAGTGCACATTCAGTCTCCCCATTAACAAAACTAGTTTTAATTGGAGAGTTAGGGCAGGCTCATGGCTGTGGGCAGTCACTGCTGAATTGAGTGCCTATCATTAAGGTTTCAAAAAGTTCAATTTAGCAGTGAGATGGGAAACTGTCTAACAGTAGAGACACTCCATTCAGTGCGCCTCCTTTGCTGGTTGAAGGTGAATTCTGTGAAAGCATCAAGAAAAGGAAGCTGAAGTTCTATATGGGGAAAGTGTTATATACTATTCCCTGCCAGTGATTACTACTACCCAGTCTTGTTGATCTACAGATTCAGGTTGATTTTTAAGCAGCTGATTAAATACAGATGTCTACAGGTCACTAATCAAATGAGGAGCTTAAAACTGCAATGAAATATGCTGGGCAACACCTGTGGGCTATTGGTGGGTTTGCCTGGTGGCTAAGTTGTTCAGACTCATTTATCTCGGTAAAATGCAGTGACCGAACCTGTAAGGTAATGTCTTGAAGTGCATCTGCTAGTGTGGTGGTTGTTGTTCAGACTTGTCAACTTATTCATTTTGAGTCTGTTTTGTACATTTTTTTATACCGTGTGCCTGTTTGAACAAATGAGTAAAACTCAATGCATGCTCACAGATTCCTTTATTCATGGCTGAAACCTTGGGTTCAAGGAATTATTTAAACGGTAAAATGGTTGCCCGTAGAAATGCAGGTTGTTAATGCTAGAGAATGTTTTTATTACAGTCGTGTTGCATACCTAATTATCTGGCTCTTCTAGGAGTCAGAAAACATGAGTGTTGTGTATGGCAGGAGTGATAATAAAGTAGTAACTCTTAAAGTTCCTTTGATGTTTATGTTTCCATTCTAAGCCTTATTCTCATTTTTTAATAACTCCTGAATTATTTTTTTCCTAGCTTTTTCTGCTAGGATTGTACCTTTTCAGAGGGGCAGTCATGGGGGAAGGGAGAACTGAATATTTTCTGTTGTAAATATTGTTATGGTAGTAGCTTATGATTGATCAGGGTCATGTTGTGTCAACTCCTGTGTGAGTACAAAGAACAGGCAGTTTGTCCACCTTGTTGCCTGCAAAAGGCTTAGTAAGGCTGAACAGAAGGCAGTTTCAGGTAGAGGAGAGAGTCAGAAGATCTCATGCACACTGCAATAGGAACATGGTGATGGCAGCTGTCACGCTATTGAGCTATTTCCTTCACATGATTTTTGTGGGTGGGGGTACTCAGTGGTTTAAATGACAGCCTTGAGCTGCTGTCCATCAGCTCGGCCTCAGTCACTGTTAGTGTGTGTATTGTAAGGCCAGCTGTGATTTGTCACAGTTCAGCTGCCAGGTGATATCTTGCTAAGCTGTGATAAGACCAATCTCTTCACATTTTTGGGTATAGTGAGGTCATATGAAGAATGGGTTGATTGGTAAAGGGAGGATAGGCTATAGCTGCATAAAAATAAACTTCTGGGGAAGACAGAGTTCTCAGGAAGAAATTGGAATGATTTGATAATTTTTTAGGCTGTTATTTATGGTACAATGAAGATCATCGATAACTCTGTGTAACAAATCATTTAATAGCATATCTCTGATTCCTCATGTGTTGTCATCAGTGTAAAATAGGGGTAATGCTTCTGGTGCAGCATGTCAATTTTAGGTCAGTGCAAGCAAGTATAATCTCTGTGTTTGTCTTCCACATAATCTTAAATCAGCTATAAGGAGAGGCTTTTTGAGGTAGTTGATTTAATGTTGGGAGTAGAAATAGCTGAATAGCTTTTGGACACATAGTCTCTTCAGACATGAAATAGGAAGAACAAACCTGAGGTTGGTTCATTGGTAATCTGTTAATTTAAGAGGCTCAAGAGATCCTCAAACCTGTTTGCTGTCCCCTACTCCTGAAGGACTTAGTTGTCTGCTACCCTCCTCATTCTGCTTGTTCTCAGTAGGTCAAAGTCTCTTCTTGCAGACTTCATATCGCGGATTCTTCGATGCCTGTTGCTACATCTTTGCTATTGTGATAGACAACTAAATTACTTTTTTATCTACCACAAAAAGGCATAATATGGCTAAATACCTAAAGTTCAGTCATGCCAGTGGCGCAACACTTAGCAGTCCTAAAAAAATCTCTTGTCCATGTCCCTCCCACCCCTTGTGATTTTTTTTTCCCCAAACTGTTTATCAGATTATCTGATTATCAGAGGAGTTTCTTTTAAGAGCATTTTCTTTCTCAGTTGCAAGCACTACTGCCTCTATTTGCCTAATCTCTGTGAATCTCGGGATTTTTTTCAGGCATGAAATAAAACCAAACGCTTAAGGGAGGGATGAAGTTAACATTTGCAAATCCCAGTGATATTCTCTATTGAAAAATATAGTGGTGTATCTATGCAACATATTGTTCATTTTCATTTCAAACATATGCTGAGTTGGATATCCCATGCTTGGCTGTAGCTGCAAACATTGCTTTGTGTCTTTCTTTTTGCTGTCTGGGTAGATGTTTGATAAAATGAAAGCAGGAGTTTATCTTGCTTTAAAGTTTAATGTACCATAAGCTGAGCATTATGAAGAAGCTGTCACAGCATTCAGATACCTGTGTTCAAACTGGATTATCAACCCCTTGTCTAAACAAACCTGGGTTTTTTTAGAAACATGGAGGTTGGATGGGAGTGTTTGTTTATGTTTGTAAGATACACGTCTAATTACATGCTTTCAAACATAGCAAAACATATACTAATGGTGTTCTTGTCTGTTTCTGAAAAGCTAAGTAATTCAAAAAGATGTCATTTTCGCATTTTTGCATTCTACATTTTTACAGTAATATTAATAATCACTTGTGTTACAAACATGTATAGGGAGACTAAGAGATTTGGGTTCTACTGTATCGAGATACTGTCCACCCTTTGCATAGCAAGTCAATCCTGACCCAAAGCATTTGTGGTCTCTGATCAAAAAGAAAGAAAACAAGGTATTTTTCTTCCTCTGATCTGAAGTTTAGATGTTTGCATACAGGTAGATGTGGGATATACTTAGACCTGGGGGATGTGTTAGTACCACACCTGTACTAGACCACATCAGAAGTTGATCTCAGGACAGGTAGCATTTCAATACAGGTGACTTCAGGACGATTGCTTGTTTGGCATTACTTGGCATCCTGTGATTTTGGAAAGGGAAAGGTTAGAGCTAATCTTTCTCCAGCAAAATCAGAACTTCATTCTGATTTTACAGAACTTTGCTCTTTGGGCTTGAGTTAGGTAAAACTGAGGTCAAATAGATCTCAGATGTTTTGTTTGGGTTTTTTTTTGTTCCCCCCACCCCCCCAACTAGATGCTATCTAATACTAGATCTTGGGCCAATTTTTGCTCCTTGAAAAATCAATATTTATCAAAGATGTTTGATAGCCAGAGCTTTAGGCTTATGGCCTGAGTGCAGGCCTAATACGAGCAGATTATTCTCCCTAATACATCCAGATAATGCTTCTGAACAGATCCGGGGAAAGGCAGTACAAAGTTTGGATCCTTTCTGGATCCACCACTGACTGTGGGTGGGTAGACCCTAACTTTCCTACCTGTCACTGCTGCCATCAAAGGCACAGGGTTGCAAGGACCACTATGGCTGGAAAGAGGCCTGAGTAAGGAGCATCAGTATACACTCAGAAAGATGTACAGCTCC